ACCTTGCTACTGCTGACCAATTTCTCCAAAGGTCATTAAAGGAGAATTAACACCAGCTTTTTGTAAGGGAGTTTTACATTCCTACACCTTAAATCCTGGTACATGTGCTAGATGTCCCTATGTGCTCCATCATGTTGTGTTCTAATCTCATCTTATAATTTTTGAATTTTCCAAGGGTGGACATGTCCACTATGAGGTCCAATATGCCGGGTATGGCAGACATTGGTGGTGTAATCAGAGATTCCTCAAGCAAGGTGTTGGCTATGTACTCAGGACCCCTAGGGGAAGGTGGTTCTCTAAAAGCTGAACTGTTAGAGCTCTGCTTCAAGGGCTAAAGATTTCCAAGCAAGCTGATCTTAAGAACTTGGAGATAGAAGGGGACTCAAAAACAGTGATATCTTGTACCAATTCAAGCAGTAATGTTCCGTGGTGCTACAGACATCCATTAAAGGAGATAATAAGCATAGCAAGGGAACTTAATGCCTCGTTTACATGGGTTTGGAGATCTGCAAATGGAATGGCTGATTCTTTAGCTAAACAAGGAGTTCAAAGGCAACAACGTTTGTGGGCTTTATTGTAAAATTTTCTGTCGAAATTTCTGTGTTCTATCTGCTGTAACTATGTATTTATTCTCTTAATTGAATAAAATCATCATCTTGCTGATCAAAAAATAAATAAATAAATGAGTCCAATATGTTTTGTCTACCCTAAAAGCATGATGAAACCACTAAACCAATGGAAGAAAGACATGAAATTTTGTTAGACTGTAGATCATGCTCTCATAAGGCTACAACAAAAAAATAGGCTCAAAACAGGTTCAGAAAGCCCCTAAACCGACCCCTTAAACATTCGGGTTCCAATGAATAGAGGATGAACCAGAGGGTTTCAGTGGGAAAGTATGGAACCCACATAAATAGATTCAGAAGGTTAATAAATAAATGAGACCAATATGTTTTGTCTACCCTAAAGCATGATGAAACCACTAAACCAATGGAAGAAAGACATTAAATTTTGTTAGACTGTAGATCATGCTCTCATAAGGCTACAACAAAAACTAGGCTCAAAACAGGTTCAGAAAGCCCCTAAACCAGCTCCTTAAACATTCGGATTCTAATGAATAGAGGATGAACCAGAGGGTTTAAGTGGTAAAGTATGGAACCCACATAAATAGATTCAGAAGGTTAAAAAACCCTAGGGTGCCAAATTTCATAAAAAACTAAGCACCAAGAATCCATGAACAAGCCCAAAGAAGTCTCGAGTTCAGGTGAATCAGCCCAGTCTAACACATCTATGGGTCAAAGTTGACTTGGTCAATTTTTTCAGTTTGGTTCTAGTCAGGTTGGGTATAGGAAAAATTCAAAGGAGGAATGAGGCTTTACTTAAAAAATGGTTGTGGAGGTTGCCAAAGGAAGAAGACAAGCTATGGGCTAAGGTGATTGTGAGCATTCATGGGCAAATGGCTGATGGTTGGGATGCTGGAATTCTGGCTAGGGCTACACGAGCTTCTCCTTGGAAATCTATACATGCCATTCTTCCTTCTTTTTGCCATTCATCAGGTATAACCTATGTTCTGGAAACCGAAATTTGGGGAACATACTTGGTTGGGAGATGTTTGAAAGAACAATTTCCTTCCTTGTATTTCATTTCTTTGTTTAAAAATGAGCCAGTGTCCACCTTTGTGGTACCTTCAGATTCTTCTCATGGTTTGGATTGGGATTTAGGTCTGAGAAGGGGCATTAGGGATGCTGAAGTCAACCAGGTTTATGCCTTAATTCAGACCTTGGGTGGGGTGGTGTTGGACCCTGGGAGAGGGATAGTAGACTTTGGACTTTGACCCCTTCGGGTGACTTCTCTTGTACTTCTTTTTTAAGGCCGTAACACAACCCTCTGATAGCTTGGATATATACTTTCGAGTTCTGGAAGTTTGGGGTAAACGCTTCCCCCAAGGGTTGGTGATTTTTGTTGGGAAGCCTTTCTAGGAAGATGTAACACCTGTGACTTACTCCAGAGAAAAATACCTAATTGGCGCCTCTCCCCTAATTGGTGCATCCTATGTAAGGAAAATGGTGAGTGTGGCTATCACTTACTAATCTCTTGCTCCTTTGTTTCACATAATTGGGAATGGTTTTTCTCTTTCTTTGGTTGCAGATGGATGCCCCCACCAGTACAAAGTTTGTTAGCCTCTTCCTTTTTCAGGTGGCCAAAGAAGAGGGGAAGAATTCTTTGGAGATGTGTCAAAGCTGCAATATGCTGGACAATTTGGGAGGAAAGAAATTCAAGGATTTTTAATGAGGAGAGGAAAAAAGATGCCATCATTGAAACAGTTACTATTAGAGTGGTGCATTGAGCGAAGTCTCTACAATTATTTAAGAATATCTCCACAGATATGTTGAGAAGAAATTGGAAAGAAGTGGCCACCTCAGCTCCTATTAAAACCAAGACTAGCCCCCTTTGGTCTCCCCCAGTATCTGGTTTTACAAAGAAGAACTTTGATGGGAGTAGTGAAGGTAATCCGAGACCTTCTGGAACAGGAGGAACTTTTAGGGACAAAGAAGGGAAAGTCACTGCTCTCTTTTCTGGTCCTATTGGCATAGGCGATTCTCTTCGAGCTGAAATCCTAGCTGTGATGGAAGGAATGAAGAGAGCAAAAGAGTTGGACTACCAAAAGATAATTATTGAAGGGGATTCAAAACTGGTCATAGGATGGCTGCAAAGAGAGGAAATTGGTCTATGAAAGTATGCTAATGAAAAAAGATTGTTCAACCAGCTAGCATAAGGTGTGGAGATTCAGTTACAATGGGTAAAAAGGTGTGCTAATACATTTACGGATACCCAAGGGGTGGGAAGGGAACATTTATTTTGCGCCAGTTTGTAATTGACTTGTATGTATTTTCTTGAGGATGGTTAAGAGAGTTTACCCATCCCCAGTCCATTGCACTTCCTTTTTTTAATGAAAGTTGCTGTTATTGATCAAAAAAACTTATATAATTCAAGAAATCAACTCAGCACCATTAAACCATACACCATTCATCTCAATCAACTAAGGGATTCCTGGTCCACCATTTCACTTTGTCTAGCATCATATCAAGTAACAGCTTCAAAATGGTGATATGTATCTTACATTGACTGGACGATCACCCAATATCACCTTTCCACCATACTTCCTTGCTTCTTCAAATGCTACACGAAACTCAGCTCCAGGAAAAACCTCAAGCTTATTTGCAACCTGACAAAGTACAAGGAAATCTCAGGCTCATAAACAAACAAAAACTAAAAAAAATGATAATTGAGCTTAGAGGAAAAAATTATGAAACCAACGCTTAAAACAAAATTAACAATTGAAAGTGTAATGAGAATATATAAGCACACCTTGGCAAGAAACCAACCATAAAGAATTCCAAAACTATTCATTTTCTTTTTCTTCAACATATCGACCATTTCTTTCATGGTTGGTACCTGTCTAATTTGATGATAAGTAAACTTGCACACGAAGAGCAGATTAAAAGGTTGCAGATTATAAGTTAAATGGCTGTGATAAAAAATAAGCAGGTCCAATATGAAATACTATCAAACAGAGAAAGAAGTGAAACAGAACAGCAAAATATTATTGTTTAATCAAGAAAAACAAGCAGGAAAGAACAGAGAAAAATTCAGATCACTAGAGAAGGGTTGAGAGATAGAAATAGGGTTTTAGGAAGAAGAGAACCGAACTGTCTCCCAGCCCCCTTAATCGTATTTTATTAGTTCTAATCATAAAATAATGTAGAATTACAAGAAATCCCTTAATAGGGTGGCTGCACTAATAAACACTTAAGAAATTTATATTCAGGCCTATAACAACTTAGTCCCATGCACATAAAATAAGAGATAAAACACACGGCCTAATAGCTCAACAGAGAAAAACACTGAGCTAAAACTTGGATACCTAACTGCAGTTTAAATGATGGACAATAATGTAAAGCTTAAACACCTTACATCATCCAAAAGTGACACAGTCCAATAAGTTATTTTATAAGTACACGGTCCAATAAGTTAATAACCATCTTACAATTATTGGATGAATAAATGAATAAATAATGCATCATAAGCATAAGTAGGTTACAGGAGGATACCAATAGAAAGAGAACGACTTGTTTTTCAGAGAAAAATAAAGTGATTGAAAAATCATTTATAAAGAATACCAAAGTGAAACTGAAAAGACATTTCTGACACAGGAACTCTGAGATTACTCCAAATTGTTCCACCATAATTGTAGGCATATAAACAAAATGTGGTCCAAAGAAAGGGCAAAGGAAATAGGAAATGTGCTGCTTCTCTCAAGTTCTACTACTCATCCTCTAGTTGTATCAACTGCTATGCTGGTTCACATAAACATTAAACTATTCCCAACCCCACTCCAACACCCACAATCATCCACTAGTTGTATCAACTGTTATGCTGGTTCACATAAACATTAAACTATTCCCAACCCCACTCCAACACCCACGATTATCCAATGCCTCAACAGTCACAAGTTTGATGTTACTATTAAAATAATAATGAGATTCACCACAATGGATAATGGAGCCCTCAGAATGGTTACACATTGAAGAATTCAACTTGACTTGCATCCGGATGCAATGAACTCTCCAGTATTTGCTTCTTAAACTCAGCCTGCATTTGATTTACTGGTTCGCTTAAACACCACTAAAGTTCCCCATGTTGAATTGAGGTAGTGTTGGTGATGCTCTGCCAAACCCAAATGTACAGATAACAGATGTTTGAAGTTACCACCCATTTTTATTCTTCATCGTCTTCTTCTGTTTTCTCTAAATGAAGCAATTATACTTCTGCATAATGGAACAGGAGTAGGGTTTGCACCTTAATCTGTTTTTTTTAAGGATAAAAATCAATTTCATTAAACTAAAAAAAAGGGAGTACATCTCAGAAAACCCAGTGTTTTAAAAGGGCGCAGAGGCGAGGCGCTTTCCAGGCTGGGCGCCTCGCCCAGGCTAAGGTGCACAAACCTTGAACAGGCGCTCGCCTTTGCACCCAGGCATGCGCCTCAGGCCAGGCAACAGGCAGCCCAGGCAAGCGCCTGGATGATGTTTACACAATTCAACTTAAAACAAGATTCAAAATTATATTAAAGAAAACACACACAAAATAGGAAACTTAGGAAAAAAGGAAGCTGAATCAACAGGGTCTTTGCCAAAACAACCAAAAGGAAAAAAAAAAAAAAGTTTGGAGGGAAGACTTCCTTCATCCAAAAGTTACCACTCCAGAGGAGAAACCAGAGGAAGCTGAAGCTCATGTTCATCCAAGACTCCAAGCCTGAATGAAACAGAGCTACAGTATCAGCCTATCAGGTATGTTATGTTTTCTTTTTTTTTTTTTTTGTTCTTCTTCCTGTGGCAGTTAGCAGTCCAGGCTGAAACAGGGGCTCCGCCCTATTTTTCTTCTTCATACAAAACATGCATAAAAAACAGGGACTACGCCCCTTTTATTTTTTTCGACTTTTCTCAGTAAAACAGGGGCTCCGCCCTCTCTTTACTCATAAAACTGAAGAAGAAGAAGAAGAAGAAGAGAGAGGGCGGAGCCCCTGTTTTACTGAGAAAAGTCGAAAAAAATAAAGGGGGCGCAGTCCCTGTTTTTTATGCATGTTTTGTATGAAGAAGAAAAATAGGGCGGAGCCCCTGTTTCAGCCTGGACTGCTAACTGCCACAGGAAGAAGAACAAAAAAAAAAAAAAGAAAACATAACATACCTGATAGGCTGATACTGTAGCTCTGTTTCATTCAGGCTTGGAGTCTTGGATGAACATGAGCTTNGTTCTTCTTCCTGTGGCAGTTAGCAGTCCAGGCTGAAACAGGGGCTCCGCCCTATTTTTCTTCTTCATACAAAACATGCATAAAAAACAGGGACTACGCCCCTTTTATTTTTTTCGACTTTTCTCAGTAAAACAGGGGCTCCGCCCTCTCTTTACTCATAAAACTGAAGAAGAAGAAGAAGAAGAAGAGAGAGGGCGGAGCCCCTGTTTTACTGAGAAAAGTCGAAAAAAATAAAGGGGGCGCAGTCCCTGTTTTTTATGCATGTTTTGTATGAAGAAGAAAAATAGGGCGGAGCCCCTGTTTCAGCCTGGACTGCTAACTGCCACAGGAAGAAGAACAAAAAAAAAAAAAAGAAAACATAACATACCTGATAGGCTGATACTGTAGCTCTGTTTCATTCAGGCTTGGAGTCTTGGATGAACATGAGCTTGAATGAGCTTCAGCTTCCTCTGGTTTCTCCTCTGGAGTGGTAACTTTTGAATGAAGGAAGTCTTCCCTCCAAACTTTTTTTTTTTTCCTTTTGGTTGTTTTGGCAAAGACCCTGTTGATTCAGCTTCCTTTTTTCCTAAGTTTCCTATTTTGTGTGTTTTTTTTTAATATAATTTTGAATCTTGTTTTAAGTTGAATTGTGTAAACATCATCCAGGCGCTTGCCTGGCCTGCCTGTTGCCTGGCCCGAGGCGCATGCCTAGGTGCAAAGGCGAGTGCCTGTTCAAGGTTTGTGCACCTTAGCCTGGGCGAGGCGCCCAGCCTGGAAAGCGCCTCGCCTCTGCGCCCTTTTAAAACACTGGGTTTTCTGAGATGTACTCCCTTTTTTTTAGTTTAATGAAATTGATTTTTATCCTTAAAAAAACAGATTAAGGTGCAAACCCTACTCCTGTTCCATTATGCAGAAGTATAATTGCTTCATTTAGAGAAAACAGAAGAAGACGATGAAGAATAAAAATGGGTGGTAACTTCAAACATCTGTTATCTGGGGCTCCGCCCTCTCTCTTCTTCTTCTTCTTTAAAACAAGGGCTCCGCCCTCTCTCTTCTTCTTGCAGTCTTGTTTCTTGCACAAAAACTGGGTCTACGCCCCATTTGTTTTTTCAGTTTTTATTATAAAAACAGGGGATCCGCCCCCTTTTTTTAGTTTTTCTTATTAAAACAGGGGCTCTGCCCCATTGTTTTTTAGTTGTTATCATAAAAACAGGGGATCCACCCCATTTTTTCAGTTATATTTATGAGGCTATGGATTGAGCAAAGGAGGCCATTGACAAGGCATATGAAGAAATTTTTGGAATTATTGATAAGAGGTGGGAATGCCAACTCCACCAACCACTGCATGCAGCTGGTTACTTTTTGAACCCCTAATTTTATTATGATGATCAAGAGAGAATTGAAACAGATGAAGAGGTTATGACGGGGCTTTTTAAAGTAATTGAAAAGGACAAGAACAAGAGAAGTGTAATCATTGATGAAATATCCAAGTCCAAGAATGCAGAAGGAATTTTTGGTTTTTTTATTGGAAACGGTAACTTCATTAATATAACTTAAGAATAACTTTCCAGATTTAAGTACAGCTGTCAACCCCTAAGTAGGCGTTGAGCCCCCAATAATCATGCTTACAAAACTGCCCAGAACATTCTCTCCCTCACAGTCCCTTGTTTAGCCAACGTGTCAGCTAAACCATTAGCTGATCTCTTATCGAGGTTGACAGACATTTTATCCGGGAGCGAGTTGCATCTCAAGAAGTATGCCTTCCTTACATTGCCTCAGACATGCAGTTAGCTGATCTCTTCACCAAAGCAGTCACAAAAATCAAATTGGAGACAGATTTACGCAAGTTGGGCATGACAAATATCTACTCCCAACTTGAGGGAGAGTGAAGAAATAGTTACTAAGTCACAAGTGTGGGGTTCCTTACCCACACTCAGGCTCTAGTGTATGTGGCTCCATACCCACACCTAGCTATTTTTTATTTTTCTTTTAAGATTGGGCCGGCTGGCCTTATTATGTTTATCCATATTATGTTTTGTTTTACTAGGACTACGACTTTATGTTTTGCTTTACTAGGACTAGGACTTTATGTTTTCTCTCCTATTCTTGTAAGGAACCAAAGGCTATAAATAATAGAATGTATGGGGTGGCAGATATCATCAACCGAACCCCTTCTTTCTTTCTCTCTTCTCTTCCTTCCACTCTTCTTTTCTCTCTCTCTCCTTCTCTTCGAACCTGTGTTTCTCTTCTCAGATTACATAGCAGCAGTTCTGATTTATTCAAGTTGGTATCAGAACACGATCTAGGGTTTCTCACGTGAAGTCTAACCCAACCGACCACATGAGAATCATCTAAGGCTGGAAGAATAGAAAGGAGCTATCTTTGCCTGATTCTTAGAGGTTACCAGAGATCTCTAGCAGCTGTCCAAAGATTGGAGGGTGATTCTTGGTAATCAGGAAGAATCAGAGAAGGTTAGAGGATTCAAGATTGGATTTTTATCAAGATTAAAGGAGGCAATCAGAGTTTTCTGGGTAAGATCTCATCCCTTCTTGAAACAGCAGTAGTAGGAAAAAAGTTAAGCTTATTCAGAAGGTACGGCTGAGAAAATCTGATTTTTCTAGGGTTTGTTCTTAACCCTACGAACCTTTTTTTTTACTGTGAGCCTTTC